CAAACTACGATGGCCACCATGACCTTGTGTGAATAAATTCATATTGTTTTAGGATTTTTTTCTTTTGGACTCTATTTTTCAAATATTTGGAAAAAGTTTACTGATATTTGTAAACAAAATTGCTTTCCTCTAGTTTATACTATGACTTTTACGAAAACTAGTTAGGTCTAAATTTCCATGTATCTCATCTTTTCCTGAAACATATTTAAGACAAATGGTCAAGACACATTGTTTGACTTAAATCATTTTGTTACAGTTTAGAGAGGACTTATCACATCAAAAAAGAAATTTAGAAAAGGAAGCTTTATTTAGAATGGTGGAAATTTGGGAAACAATGTGTAATCTAGGGATTCAGTTTCCATACAGACTGTCAATAGAGGGATAGATTTCAGAACAACTGTTGTGGTGAATGGACTGCATTTGTTCCTGTGTTCAACAAGTAATGAATTTCTGCTGGCTCCTGTGCTGACCTTGGTGTATCACACATTGATTCAAAATTTGGTATTTAATTGCCTGCAGATTCAACTCAAGGCACTATAATTTTGTTAGTGAATCCTTTAAAATAAGCCAGGTGCATGAACGCGTCTCAAGGACAAGGTGAATTTGTATGATGTTGTTCGCAAATGTTAGGTTTATAAAAATGATAACTTCAGTGAACTGATAGCATTTATTTCTGGAAGCAAATAGATATGAGAACAATTACTTTCTCAGGTCACTCCTGAAGTTGTATCAGTAAAGTCAAGCCATGTATTATAGCAGAAAGATTATATGTTTAAACACTCTAGGGGGACAAGCATTAATTAACAGAAATGATATAAAATCACAAATCAATGACAAGGAAGGCCTGAAGACTTTCCTATTGTACATCATTGGGGTTTGTTACCGTATCTATCACTATATAGATAGATTGACTCAGAACTCATTCCGATTTATAGGGGAAGGTTCAAGAAAGTGGTGTCCATTAAGAAACTTCTGCAGTTTCTTATAAGCACTGTTTCACCAGAGCTCTCAGAGACGCCAGTGACTATCAGACCTTGAAGGAGTCCCCTCCATATTTCTCTCTTACTAGTTCAGTCAGTGTTCACCCACCTAGTCAGTTAACCCCTGCATTTCTTACTTGATGCCAAAACTACTTTACCCATGTGTTCAGCAGGCTCAGGTAATGACTGTGCTCAGAGGTGGCCCAGAGTATTAGCTGGTGGCAGCTAATGCACATAAATATACCACCTCCCTCACTATTCGGATGGCTTAATTCTGCACTGCCTTCTCTATACATTGGTTCCTCCCAGCATGTTTCCCAGGAGGACAGGGCTTCACGTGCCCATGGTTATAATTGGCTTGATAGTGTTGTGTTCCCTTTTCTGTTTCTCTCTCCATTTTCTACTATTATTTATTTTTTAAAACTTCCTTCAAAACTGTCTTCAAATCCCATCTCTGGGTCTGCTTCTGGTGAACCTACTGTAAGACAGGGATCAAAATGAACCGAGAACTCCAGACCTGCAATTTATTGAGCAGAAACGGGTATATATTTTGCAAGAGATATCTGTTAAGTTGGACAGAAAAAAGCCTCTCTCTCTCTCCCTCTCTCTCTCTCTCCCCTTGTCTCCCTCCCTCCCTCCTCTGTCTCTCTTCCTTCTTTTCCCTTTTCTCTTTTCTCTTTTTCCTCCCTCCCCCCTTTTCTTTTCTTACCAGGAATTGAACAGTTGAACTCAAGTCCTTTGCACTGAGTTACATCCCCAGCCCCTTTTTTACATTTTATTTTTTGAGACGGGGTTTGGCTAAGTTGCCTAGGCTGGGTTTGAATTTGTGATCTTCTTGCCTCGGACTCCAAGAATGCTGGGATTATAAGTGTGTGCTACCATGACCCACTGAAAGTATTTTCATTTGAAAAAAATGTACATTCTGGGTCACACTAAGGTGATCTTCAGTAAGAATAAGATCGGCAAGCAGAGAGGTAGGATCTCTTCCTCCTAGGATTTATATAAGAAGCTAAGAAAGAAGGGATATGACTGAAAAATAGGCACAGATTGTGATACAGCAAGCTCATCACCTGTGTCCAACTAGGAAAAATAAATATCCCATAGTCTGCAGGAATTTGTCTTATTTGAACTCAATCACGAAGTACATGACTAGAAGATGGCATCATTTTCAAACTTTTTGATCTGTTTAATAGGTTTAATAGTCTCCATTTGGACTTACTATACTTGATTTTTTAAAGGCAGTTTATAATAAGATTAAAATTTAATCTATTGCCCAGTGACCTTATGTCCAATTTCTTTCTCTCTGCTGCTCTCCTGACCTATCCGGAATTTTTGTGTTGTCTTTGTCACTTGTTTTGCTACCAAGCTGTTATGGTCCAACCACTCATTTGGATTACTGGAGTAGCCTTCTAGCCAATCTCCTTGATTCTGTGATTTCCTTCCATGAGTGTCAACACTGTAGATAGAGAGGTATTTTAGAAATACAAATCTGAGCAGAGCACTGTTCGCCCCACTCTTTCCAGTGGATCTACATTACATGCAGAGTAGCAGAGGCTTATGATGTCCTGCAAAGCCAAACTCAACCTCACCCCTGGTTTTCTGTGAGGCCTCCTCTGTCCTGCTGCCCTTTGTTTACTCTCTCCAGACCCATAAGCATCCTTGTGCTTTCTTGAATACCCCTCTGTTGCATGTGTCTTGTGCCCAAATAGCCACATGGCTTGCTTAAAGATGAGAGCGCATGATTTTATAGCAAATAAGAAAAGTCATTACAACAGAAGCAGAATGCTAGTATAGATAAACTTTAAAAAGTTAGAGTATGAAAGAAAAAAGTAGAAGCACAAAATAAAGGTAAAATGCTAAAAATATAAAAGTTTAAAGTGCGATCTTTAAAAAAAAAAAGCATCTGCCGGGGATTTAGCTCAGTGGTTCTGCTGCCTGCCTCACAAGCACAAGGTTCTGAGTTTGATCCCTGGTACCAAAAAAACCAAAACAAACAATAAAACATCTGTCCATGTGAGTGAGGGTAACTAGTGGGCCAAGGCAGAGCCCTGACATCTCCATGAGGGACTGCACAAGAAGCCTCCTCAGGGAATGGGGAAAGAGAGGAAGTTAGGAAAAGGAGAATGAAAACACATTTTAACACTGTGAAAAGAAAATAATGATCTCTTTGAATATGGAATGAAAATACCAAGTAGAAGTGAACTCCTAATTATTTCTTACAGTCTCTAAACCTCCCCCACCTTGTAATTCAAGAAAAGATAATGGAGGCATATCAAGCATTTTATTACTGTAGACACAACTGTTTGGAAATACAGACCATCTTAAAATAGGCAACAGATGATGAAGCAAGGAACTAGCACCCAAATATTCCAAAACCTTTTATACTGAAACTCAAAGGAAAGCATCTTGTTTTTTACATCACCAAAGATGAATATCAGAGTTTTAAAATGCTTGGAAAATAGACAGAAAAAGAAAAATAAGACTAAACATAGTTTGATCATATAGTATTTAGTAACTTAAATATAACTGGATGGAAGAAGATGTAGAGAATTAAAAAATAAATTATTCATTCAGGCATCCTAACAAACTGAACAAACTAGAACTGAAGACACATTTGACTTCATGGCAACTATCTACTGTGGATTGGTATATTCTGGGACAATACAGAGTAGGCCTTAAAAATGCCAGAAATTCCCACAAAAGGTTAAAAATTATTAAATATGCATGAGAAAGTGTGTGTAGTACTTTTAAAAGTTTGTTTTGGTTTTAAATGTATTTCCAAGAAAGCCATGGTAATTTTTGCTACTGAGTATATCTTTAATCTCTTACAGAAGTCAAAAGGTATCATAAATGTTATGCCTTGGCTTACAATCACATTTTCTTATGAATTCTGAAATAAATTGTGTTACTAAAAGCATCCACTTAATATAAAAATGTAATTTTTGAAGACAAAATTTTGTCAGAATATTATATGGAATGAAAATTATAGTACAGTGCTAAAAACTTTATACATAAATGTAGAATAGATATTGAGAAGAAATAGATAAGTAACCCTAAAAAGTTAGGGTTCTGTAAAATTTTCAGTGCAAATACAGTTGTATCAGGCCTCATGCATGGAGGTACACAATAAGTAGCAGATATATCTGAAATTCAATGTCAAATTAACTTTATAGTATTTTCATTGATATTGAATGGTACAGTATTTGTGATACGTTAATTTTTGCCCCTGAGAATTATTTATTTAGAAATTTAGATGTATAAATATTATGGTTTGTTAGCAAACCATATATGTGTAGCATTAACATTAAATTGATATTTGTTCTACCTTTTGTTAAGAGCCAGTTGACCTAAGATTTAACTTGCAGTATGTACTTAAATTAGAGCTATTTATTTATAAAATGGTTCCCATGATTTTTCTAGGTGTATGAAATGATGCACATGAGTTAAAGCATCTAAAGACAGGAACAAAGCCTGCCCACTGGAAACATGCCTTTAAATGAGTCTTAGAATGGTTGATGTCTTAAAGTAATTTCAAAATTTAGGGCTAAACAGAACATCATTGTCTAACCCTGAAAAAAATTTTTATTTGAAAGCATCTTCCTAGAAACATGGACAATTAATTCTACCACTTAAAATTTGGATTTCCCATGGTTTATAACTAAAGGATCATAACAATGACGGTTTTTAAAGATAGTCACTCTGTCATTTGTTAGACAACCCCCCAAAATATATCTGGAAAGTATCAGTTTTCTTAAGAAAAGATGTATGATGATATATCAGGACAACACATACGTTTCCTGTGGTCAAATATCATTCCCTTTAATTAAGTAATATAAAAATAATTAACAAGTATTTGTATTCCTTCAAATTCCTGGACCCAGGCATGCACAAGTATATTTCAATAAACTTTTTTACTTTACTTCTGGAAAAATATTTCCCATTCTTAACATAATCCCCTAAATGACAGAAAAAATAAAAGAAAGACTCCCGAGCTGGGGATTTAGCTCAGGGGTGCTGCCGCCTGCCTCGAAAGTGCAAGGTCCTGATTTTGATCCCGGGTACCAAAGAAAAGAAAGACTCCCTTTGAATAACTTTATTTACACTTCTGCATTTTGACATATTACAGATTATCAAAATTTTACATATTCTACAGAGCTAATGTAAGATGTATATTGTGGCTTTTATCATATTAACCCCATCTGCTATTATATTGAGCAAAATAGCTCTAGGTAAAGTCATTCACTCCCATCCCTCTTTGACAAGTGTTGGAAGTTGAATAATGATTCTTTGATCTTGTAACATCCTGGAAAATTTGAGTAGTTGACTAGGAAAAAAATCTTTTAAAGTATATAATTCACAACTCCAGGAGGAAGAATTGTTTCCTAGTTTTATTTTGTTGTATGCAGTCTCACTTTAGTGAGCTTATATTAACAATGAACTTTAAAAAGACCAAAAACAAAACAAAACAAAACAAAACAAAACAAAAAAACCCCCAAACAACTCCTCTACCATACAATGGTAAATATACCTATTTCTTGGAATGTGTTGGTTCTCTTTAGAGATTTGTATTCAGGACACATTATATAGCAAGTACACAGAAATAATATATCATAAATAGCACATTACTATGTTTTGAAACTAGAAGAATATGTCCTTTTATACTCTTTAGGAATTATCTATACATCAGAGCATTTATAAGCCAGGAATTTATTGACAAGTCAAATCATGATTTTAAAATTTATGCTAGTGAAAAAATTTAGTTGTTAGGGAGTGAAAGAAATGAGTTTGTCTAGTACTTTTTTATTCTTTCCAACACAGTATCATTAACTGTAAAAGGTTCATGGTTGAGGAATTCAAAATGGCAGCAGAGGGTTGTTAAAAGAAAGTACTAAACTCAAAGCTAATAATTAGTTCGATAGTGCTTTACTGAACAATTCTTTTCTAACTTTCCCCATTTAAAAGTTTAAATGTTCTAAAAACATTTTTTTAAGATCCCCTTAGAAAACTTCCCCATAGCTTAACCATGCTGCTAGCTTCTTCCCCCACAGCTCAGCTTAAGTAAGTCATTTTAACTTTGGAGCAAGGTAACAAAAAGCTGGATGTGCATGACTAACACTTGCTGAAAACAATCTGACAATGCAGTGCAGTTTGTATCTGCTTAGCTGCGAAGGTATTTACCACTAGTGATGACAAACCCGTCACCTGTCCCTTCACTGAACCTGAGACATTTTCCCTTAATATTAATTCACAACCACAGTGGTAAAGAGAAAAATGAGTGTGATGCCTCATAACCTCCCCAGTGGGCAATATTCTTCAAGCTCACATCTACCATTAACCCCAAACAGGGAGCAGGAAAGTCCTTAACTTTTAGCTGAAGCCTCACCTTGAGGTTCAGGCTCAGACTCTGCCAGTTTACCCTGGACAAATCTCATTCTACTGGTAGTTTCTAATGGAATTTTTCTCTTGGGAAGCATTTCCTAATCTGATGTTTATTTCCTCTAGTGCAGTTAAGTACAGTCAAGGTAACAGAGCTTGGTGGCTGTAGGCTTGATTAGGTAATTAGGTTCTTAAATAGCTAACCCTGGTCTGAATCTGTGGTTGGAGTGTTATTTGCATCATCTATGAAATTGATGGGGCAAAATTTCAGATTACATATGGCAGTATATTGCATGGTTAGTTATTTTTGAATACTGCCTGAGTTACATGGCAAATTACAGGAAAACAATGCCAAATGCCATGCTAGGGGTAGTACTTTTACATGACCACATTTAATTTACTCCACATACTGGCTGTAAACTACAGGCCACATAGGTACAAAGACGTCAGGCCTCTAGTTTTAGTCCACTGTCATGAGGTCATTAATATTAATATAAGGAAACACTTCACAAATGTACAGAGAACTCTCTCCCCCATGGCAATGTTTCCATTTATTTTTCTCATTGTGGTTTCTCACAGCAAAGTGAAGCTCTTACCACCTAGCTGTGCATCCTAAGTTACATTATTAGATTTTGGGTGGTGGGAATTGAATCTAAGCCATAATCACCGTGAGCAAGTGCTTCGGGATACCAACTACTTGGTATATTGTACTGTACTGTACTTTGTGATTCGACTTCGGGTTGTGCTAGGGGAGGCAGATCCCAGGGGCTGGGTAAAGTGATGGTCAGAGGAATTCCTCATGTGGCTAATGGTGGCTGTCCCACCCATGGTGCCACTCAGGCCTCCACCTCCACCCAGGCTTCCCAGCCCGATGCCACCACCACTTACTCCAGCTCCACTCAGGCCACTGCCACTGACACCCATGTTGGTGCTAACCAGGCCACTGCTGCCTACGCCACCACTTAACCCAGCTGCACCACTAATTCCACTAATGCCAGCACCGGAAACAACCCTCTCTGTCACAATCACATTGTGGGCATTTGATAAATCTGGGTGCATACTTAGATTGCCCATCATACCAGAAGTTGGTTGAATTACTCTTTCTGTAACTACCACATTTGAAGGCTCTATAGGAGTAGGGATAGTCAGGGAGGTGGGTAGACTTGAACCTGGTGCTATGACCCTTTCTGTCACTATAACATTTGACCCATCTCTCAAGTCAGGCATCTCTAACATTCCATGCAAATCAGCACCTGAGATGGGGCCTACCACCCTCTCTGTCACCACCACATTGGGTGCATGCAGGTTATCATGAAGGTGGACAGAGGGCTTCAGAGCACCAGAGGTGGTGTAGGACTCGGTCACAGTGACATTACCGTAGCCCAGAGGGTCAGGAATAGGCATAGGATGATGTACAGCAGGTCCCGAGGGATAGGTATTCTCAGAAATTACTGTGGTAGCGCCAACGTGCTGGGAGACTTGCTGGTGTCCACTAGCCACTAGCCCCGTTGTTTGCTGAGGGTAGATTGGTTCAGTGTTCTGAGGAGGCCAAGAGGGATCAGGGTCTGGATAGCATACGGTTTCTTTTCCCAGGGTGATATCTGCCAACTTCTTAAATTTAGGCCCAAGAGTCTCCAAGAAGCTTTCATCCAAGTCTTCACCAATGAAACTACAACAACCCACAGAGCCAGCAGGGGAATCTACACCTTCATTATCATATATGAGCAAACAATCTTTGGATGGGCGTCCTTCATCCTCATCAGCATAGGCATATGCTTTCTGGATTTATAGAGGAAAGAAAAAATGGAATTATGAATACATGCTTAATGATAACACAACAGTCTTTATCATTATATTTCTTTTCAAAGCATTACCAAAGAAGAATATATAAAATAAAATTCTAATATCCACAAGAGATGCTTTGCAAATCATTTTGTAATTGCTTGAAATAATTTGATTACAAGTCATTTTAATTGTAACTAACAATACATTTTGAATTTTAAAATGTACTTACATGGACTTTACAAAAATAGTGCACTTTGCATACAATCACATACAAAAACTTACCAAGTCAGAAGGAGATACATAAAGATATGTGCATGTGAAGAAGTTAGGAAGTACACAAAAATATATAAAAAAGTTATAAGAAAGTACACAAAAATGTGTATTAGTTTCAGTCTAAAAATGCAGTTCATAGATTATAAATTCACTCAGCATTGTATTTTCTTTTCTTCAGGTGGAATGAATGTGATAGTTCCATGAAGGTTTATTTTAATGTGGCTTTTTCAGTACAACAGGAAAAACTGACTTTGGTTCTATGCCACTTTTGGATTCAAAATTGAAGGTGATTATAGACGATTTTAAAAAATAGAATCTCTGTCAACACTGTTCTGAAAACCCACAGAGGTGCACTTTCATGTTGCCTTTGCAGTTCGTAGTCCTGGATTGCAAACTTTCAGGCTATCGGAAACATCTTATAGCAGGCCAACTTATTATACCATTTGGTTAAAAATATTTATTCAGTCCTTGCTGTTGGGCAGATACTCTGTTGTAAATTAGGCTATGCGGTAATGAACATAAGGAGATAAAATCCTTCTCTCCTAGGACTTATATTTGGGCAAGATAGAGAACACATAAACATGTTACATCAGGGAGTGGTAGATACGGAGAAAAGGAATAGAAAGTGATGGAAGTTGTTCTTTCAGAGAGGGAGCTGAATGAAGGTATCCTTGATAAAGTGGTGTTTGGAGATTGCAGTGAAGTGATAGTGTTCTAGCTAGTGGGAGGTAAGTGCAAAAGTTTCCAGGCAGAATTCTCCTTCTCAAGACACTATATTCATAGGTAGGGACACAAACAGGAAGTGTTCCCATGTATTTCAGTAACAAGTCTCATTTTTTTGTACTACTATTTGAAAGACTTTGACCAAAATTTTGTTTAAAAATATCAGCTATCCTCTAAATTGCCCAATCTGTGGTTTACATTGTTTTTGCCCTCTTTTTTTAAATGAAGAGGAATTGTCTTAGGCTAAAAATAAATATATAATAGGGTTAACATACATAAAAAACTTCCCTTTTAAAAATATTTTTTCTTATGACATTAAAAAAAGAAGCAAAAAAGGTGGGCTGCAGGTTGGACAGATCTGGCAGGGAAGTTAGCGAAGTATTTTGGATCAGAACACAAAAGGAAATGTATTTTCAGTTAGCATAAGGGATGGGAACTTGCTGAAGGTTGATCAAGCGCATGGTTTATAACCATGAGCAACTGGGGCTCTGCCCAAGAATGGCAAAGTTAATTCTCCTGCTGCTTCTCTAAGCCCTCACACTCTTGTATCACTTGCAGGTTGTTTTGGAATGTTCTGGAAGTATACTATGAATGTTTTCTATGTGCCCGGCACTGAGCTGGGTACCAGCTATATAACATAGAGAATAAATGGATGAGACCCTAAAAATGGTAGTCAACATACAAGCTAACAGATTTTACAAGTGATAAGTTTTATCAAATGAGTAAACAACGTGTTACAAAAATACAGATCGGAAACCAGATGAGAGAGTTGACTGTAAAAATTTCAGAGAGGCAGAGATATTTGAACAGAGTCTTGAAAGATGCGTAGGAGTTTATAAGAGGATGGCATTAAAAGCATTCAAGGAGGCACTCAGCATAAACGGAGGTGAAAAGTCTTCTGTGAATAAGGCAAAAGAGGTAGGGAGGGGACAATATGTGAATAAACTTAATTGCCATGTTAAGGAGTTTCGACTTCATGTTATTGACAAAATAGAGCTGGAAGCCATTGACCAATTTCCAAATTGCAGAGTAAGGTGCTTAAACCAGAACTTTAGAAATATGACTCAGCACCAATATGGATCATTGGGCATAAAGGCTAGAAGCTGGGAATCTAAGCTTCCCACCAAACCGCTAATGGGAATTATTAAAAGCTTTGAATACAGTGGTAGTGAGGAAGCCAGATGGCTAGAAGCCTTACCTGACAGAAGTAGTTTTCCATGAAATTCATATTCAGACCCTCTCTACATTCCCTCATAGAGTTTCTTCGTAATGTTCCGGAATATTCTTGGCATATCTCAGGTGCAGCTGGTGTTTTAACTCCCTCAATTAGTTCAAATCCTGTCATTCTTTCTCCTCCTCCCAGGTCTTGCATTTCTCTGGCACAATAGTCATTTGTATAAACACCTAAAAGTGTTTGATAATGTTAAATTTATTTTCTCTAGTGTATTGTGAACCAAAAACTATCAACTTACTATAATACAGAGTTTCCTCATTCAGATATGCATTTCTGAGCAAAGAAATAAAATGAAGATGACATATAAAGAAGAGAGAACTATAATTGATATTGAGTTCAAAATAATGCTATTAATCTGTTGTTAACTTGGTCATTATCTGCTGAGAGGCTACTGTATAGTGTGCTGGAAGAGGGTGCTGCAGAGAAGTTACAAAAACTTACGTTCTAAAGAGTTTGACTTCAAACTGAGGAAAGTTGGGGGGTAAAATACTCATTTAAAAGGCAAAAGAGCAGCCTAAGTTAAACCCAAATGTGTTATTGGACATGCAGGGTGTTCAGAAGGTGTAAGAACCATTGAGGAAAGTCTCCATGGAGAGTCTTAGATTTGCACTGGGATGAGAGGGGTGTGTAGAAGCTTGCCATAATATTCAAGGTAAGTGGTGTAAGGTGGTAGCTGGGAGTATGGAAGTGCCATGGAAGGGAGAATATTCACTTAAGGACAGGTGTTCTGTGGCTTTAATGTTCTAAAGGTCTTGAGTTTGGGGACAGTATGTATCTATATATCTATATATATATATCTTTTATATTTCAATGACTCTGGTGCCTTCTATGAGGCTTTGCTCAAGATTTGTGCAAAGGTTTGTAGACTTGATGTGGGAATAATTGCACAAGGATATACTGGTGGATTTGACTTTTTGACAAGTCTTGAGAACTGATTGGACACCAATGAAAAGAGAGATTCTACCAATCATTTCTGCTTTTGAGGTGGGAAGATACTGGCATCATTCATAAAAATGGATGGATCAGGAGAAGAAATAGGTTTAAAGACTAGTGTATTCCACTTCTTTGAATAACATATTAGTTCTACAAGTTATAAACATTTCTATGCCTGTTACATTTTACAGTGCTCAAAGTAGGAAAGTAATAATTATTAGTTTGCAGAAGACTAAGAATAGGGAAGTGTCCCAAGGGAACAAGGATGAGGGGTGAGGAAGAGGGGAAGGGGAAATGAGTAGAATAAAAATGTGCCCTGTACAGGAACCTAATAATCTCAGTGAATGTAAACATTACATGCCACAACATGTGCTATGATTAATAATATCAACAAGAATGAATATCAGGATAGAGGAATTAGAGGAAGAGGGAGGAAGGTGGGAGGGGAGGAGAGGGGTATTAAAAAGAAAAGGAAACAAGCTGTAGTATGTACACGCGCCCGCTCCCCAAGATAATGCTGCAAACATGTAGTAATAAAACAAAAAGTTAAAAAAAAGAAAAAGACTAAGAGAAAAATAAGAGAATCAGTAACATTTGCCTTGAAAAGAGTAGTAAGGTGTAACTATTTTCATGGACTTGTGAATTTCATTGTTCTTTTTATTGTAGTGGTAGTTACCCACTTACTGTGAGATTCTAATTGTTCTCCAGCTTCTGCCTGTGAACTGGTCTTGACTCTGATTTGGAGGTAAGCTGTATTTACAGTCTTACTCCTATATAAGCAGAATATCCACTATGTGCCCACAATCTTACTTTGCAAGCTTTTTATAATATTTTGTCTATTGACCTTCAATTTAAGAAATTGGATAAAATTTTTTCAGGTCACCATTTATGCTGATTCTGAGAACCAATGTAGTTTTTCTTTGTCATAATAAGCAGCTAAAGTCTGAACAATTTTGAATTATTAAGTTGTGGAAGAAGATTGTAACCTCAATAAATGAGCACCTCTATTTTAATTAGGTTGCACTATAATTTTAATCATATATACAGTCATATACATATATATGTAAAGTCATATACATATAGTCATATATGTAATTATTTGGGTAAATGAAATTTTTTGTTAGATTAAAAACCCTTGACAAAATTGACTCATGGTTATAATTCAGTACTTCTAGTATAGAGGGCTTAATTATGATTCAGTACTTCTAGTATAGAGGTCTTAATTATGTTCTGATGATTGAAGAAGAGTTAAAAAGTATAGGGCATAAGAATAGTAGAGTGGGTTTTCTTTAATTTAGAAATTAGTCACTGAAAAGGGAATTATATAAACACTTCAAAGACAAATAAGGCCATCAAAAAACCCCACTAAGATATACTAAGAGAGAGCAGAGTTCCTTCTTAGTGATTGGAGCTGTTAAAATTTTTTCTCACCTGAGTTGTCAATGCATTCCATCATGGTTGCACCACCGGGTGGTATTTGTGGCACACAGATAGTGGCCAAATCCTAAAACACAGGAAGCAACATTTTTCTATTTGTAACGAGTCTTTTCTTTCTATAGTCATGGTTTTAATGAATTACTTCAGATTTCCTAAACAACTAGTATCTCAGAATCTTTTGAAATCCGCTTAAAGCTTGAACCTCCCTCAGAAAGTCTTCTCTGGTCATCCCTCCTAATTTTGATGTGCTTTTGATCCCTCTTCCTGCCCCCCTTAGCTATTCCAGAACAAAGAACAGTGTAGACCGAGTGACAGGTTCATCTGTGGAGACAGAGTTAGGTCTCAGTCTTACAGCTCAGCACTTACGTGGGGTTCAGGCTGTGGTCCTTCTACTGCCCAGGAATGAATCGCTCCATCGGAACACTCAGGGACAGGCTCAAAGCCAGCGCCGCCCCCAGGGGCACCTCCGCAATCACAACAGATCAACAAGAATGGGACCACTGGCGGTGGAAAGACAGAAATTCTGGAGTCAACAGAGGACCATATTAAAACAATCTGCTTTTACTACTGGCTAAATTTGAATTCTTAATAGAACTGCATTTGATTTTAAAATTATGATGAAAATTTCAGAAAATAAACTATCATTGGCAGACACCAAAATAAATGCAAGCTTTAACATACTAGTCAATTTAAGTTTTTATGGTATTAAAATTATAAATAGTATTATATGATGAAAGTAGATAAATCTTTCCCCTGTCATTACTCAGGAAAGTAGCAAAGAAGAGAACAAAGAAAGCTGGAGAAGCCAGGCAAAATGTTTGATTCTTCTGTTTTCTCCTTCATGCCCTTTGTTATTTTTAGGCTTTCACACATGCCTGCCTTTATTTTAATAGTAAAATCTCACGCATGCATTGAGCAATTATTCTTATGAGGCTCATATTTTCCCCTACACAGATACCTTTTCCTTAAGTTATTCTTACACAACTAGAAAATAATCACATAATTTCCTATGAGTTTTTCTGTTAATCAGTTTTCTCATTCATCTATTTAAATATCCATTTTTATTATCCTTTTACTATTTTATTTAAATCATCTTTTTTGTGTTATATAATCTTGATCAATGGTTTTGAATGCATGGATGGATGAAAGGAAGAATGTGCAAGTAAAAATGGAGGAAAGAAGGAGGAAAAAGGAAGAAAGCAAGGAGATCGCTTGAAAGAAATTAGAAAATAGAAAAGAAAGAAAATAGAAAAATCAAGGAAAAATGGAGAGAAGACAAAAGGAATAGAGCCACTTGTCTTTTGCATTTTTGAAAATCTGCTAGACTAAAATAAAACTTTAAATTTAGCAATATTAACTTTAAGTCCCATATATAATTTTAAAATGTGAGTCACCAATATAAAAACTAACTCAAAGTTAAAGTTAGATATAATTGATAGTTATAATAATTAGTACCTGGGTATTTAAGTTACTTTCATAAAGTAATAAGTTTTAGTTTTTTAATGTTGATTGATAATCAATACAGCTAAACAATTAAAGAATTATATGTTCTCCTATATATTTTATGTTACATTCTGTCAGTTTGCTGGAGTTTTTGTATTTTTCTTGGCTTTGTTCATTTTGATGAGAATATTTTTGTTTGAAACTTGTCCCTCCTTTCACAGAACATTTCCTGGTCATTATTTCAACTTTTTATGGGGCAATAAGAACTCCTATTACTTAATATAGAACTTTCACTTTTGGAGCATTTTTAGATTAGGGGAAAGAGCCCCAACTGTGCCATCAGCATGTTGAAACTCAGTGGTTTAGGTGAATTAATATTGATTGAAATGTTCAAGAAGATGAGTTATTTAGTGAGGGAAAATCTGTTTTTCAGATAAATTTAGTATTGTGTGTATTGATAGCCATTCGTGTATTAAGAGAAATGAAGATAAGAAAAAAAATGTTTCATATCTAATGGCTCTGGACTGAGATTTGATGTGTTTTAATTCTGACACCAAGATTTTATGAAATTGTTATGCAATGTTTGCTTCTACATACCACCCTACTTACTTCCCAGTTCCCTTTTCATTCCTCAGACTGAGGCATGTGACTCATCACCAGCTTATTTCCATTATCATCCCAGCCAATGAGAGACCACCTGGAGAATTCCCTGGATTCTACCCCATGACTCGATCCTTGGCTCAGGCTACTCTCGTGGCCTTAAGATGTGCTCAATGCTTCATGTACAATACTTTTTCTGGTTTTTTCCCCCTCATCATAGCGATTTTGTGAGATATAAATAGTATTGTTTAATAGATGACAAAAGCAAGGCTCAAAGAGGTTCAGACGATGAAGTTTTTAGGAACGGATTTCAACCCTAGGTCTATGTGGTGCTCCCTTCTACCACTTCAAAGTATCCAGCCTCCGTCTTTCTAGTCAAGTGCATCCTTTCTTCTCTTCACACGGGTAGCTTTTATTGTAGTACCTTGCTTTCTCATTTGTTGAGGCTTTTGCATAGATTTTTTTCTCTTTATAGTGTGTTCCCTTTCTCTTGTCCGGCAGCCTCTTTCTCATGTGTTAAAACTCAACTTAGAGTTTACTTTCTCTAAGTAGCCTTTTCTGATTGTTTCAATAAGTTATCTCTGGTTGTCTTCACTCACATAGCAATTTGAGCTTGCTTGCCATGGGACTTTCCTCTTACACTGAGATAGATTACAAACAAGGTTTGACCCCGCACTGTTCTACAGGGGGTCAAGAAGCTCCATTTTTTCATTTTATGAACCCAGTACCAAGAATAGAATTGTCTTCATAACTGCTCAAATTAAGAATTTGTAAGATATATTTCATCGAAGAATCAGAAGGCGTATTTCCTCCACATACAACTAGAATTATTAAAGTACTTACATCCCAGGACTAGGAATCCCATGATGAGTAGTCCAATGCCCGCAGGGCCAAAGTGCACATTATCTGCAATTCCATTTTCAAATGCTTCACCACCATTATATGCACCACCATTTTTGTCACCATTTTCTTCGTTGTTGACATCAGTATCATCACTGGAAGATTGTCCACCGGTGTTGGTACTAGTGCCACCTCCACTGCTGTCTTCGGTAGTGTTTTCTGAAGTAGTGCCTGTGTTGCTGCTGCCACCCTGTGTACTGCTGCTATCTTCTGTTACCCAGCCAGAACCTTCAAGGTCAATAATAATTGTACCAGTACAAGTTCTATGAAGAGAATCTGTAACAAGGTTTAAAAGGGAAGAAATGTTTTATACATGTAGTGTAATGGTTGCCGAGTAATACAGAACTATTTTCTTCTTGCATCAATACTGACTTCAATGTTTTTATTCCCATTGATTCAGTAATGTCTGAAATTATCCCTTATCTATGACTCAGTTTTTTGTTTTTTGTTTTTTTTTTTGAGACAGGATCTTGCTATGCAGTTCACGCTGACCTTGCTATTTAGCCCAGGTTGAATTTGAACTTGCAGCGATCCTCCTGCCTCAGCCTCTCCAGTACTGGGATTACAGATGTGCGCCACCGTGCCCAGTTTATTCCGTTTTTAAAGTCAATCAATTATTATGTTGTTATAACTAACATTATTATTGTTAGTAACATTATTCGATTATTTCTTTACATTTTAAGTAGTTGGACAGTACATATAAGTTGAAAATTATAAGAAGAGGCAAACTAAAACCACAAACCATCATAGGCAAGGAAAACCAAGGACAACTTCTATTGATTTTTTGGGGGGGATAATCTTTTGCCCTTAATTATAATTTCTAAAGGTTGTTTATTATTTATGTTACATTGATATGACCATATGGTTCATTCCGTATTATATTTTTTAACTATAAAGCTGTAAGCATTCTTTCATATTTTAATACAGTTTTCATTAACATATTTTCTAATGGCTACATGACCTTATTTTTTTATAATTCTTTTATTGGTGCATTGTAGGTATACAACACAATTACATTTCTCATTGGGAATTGTACCTTTACATAATGCATCTTGGTTCTTATTTTTTCCCCATTTCTAGCCCTCCCTTCACCCCCTCCACCCTTCCCTATTTACAAAGACTTTATTTCCATTTGTTCCATTTCTCAGCATTTTTTCCTTTCCCTTCTTTCCTTTCCCCTGCCCCTCCCACTACCCCTACCCCTTTGGACCTTTTCTTCCTATTTTACATTATCGATTATTCATTCTAATCAATGGTACATTTTAGGTATACAATCTAATGACATTCATCATTGGAAATTTGCACCTTTACATAGTCTCTCTTGGTTCTTATTTTTCACCTTTGCCCAGCCCTCCCTTCAACCCCTCCAGTCCTCTCTATTTACAAAGATTTTGTTCCTATTTTTCCATTTTCTCATATTAATCCCATTCCCTTCTATCCTTTCCCCTAGCCCTCCCACTTCCTTCCCCTTTGCCCCTTTTCTTCCTATTCCACATTACCTATTATACATTTAGTCCTTATTTACACTTTCAGTTTCTCACACCAGAGAAACTATTCAGTATTTACACATCTGTGTCCTATTTATTTCACTTAAGATTATCGCCTCAATGTGCATCCACTTAGCTATAAATGTCTCTAATTTCTCATTTTTTGTGGCTGAGTAGTACTCCATTTTATAAAAAGCCACATTTTCTTTATCCAGTCTCCGGTTGATGGGCATTTGGACTGTTACCAGGTTTTAGCTATTACAAACTGTGCTGCTATGAACATGGGTGCACATATATCACTGTGGTATGATCCTTTTAATTCTTTGGGGAAGATCCCCAGCAGTGGAATAGCAGGGTCAAATGGGACTTCCAGTCCTAGTTCTTTGAGGTATCTCCATACTGATTTCCACAGTGCTTGCCCCAGTCTACACTCCCACCAGCAGTGGAGCAGGGTTCCTCTTTCCCCACAGCCCCACCAGCATTTGTTATTGGTTGATTTCATGATAGCAGCCATTCTTTCTGGAGTGAAGTGGAATCTCAGTGTTGTTTTCATTTGCATCTCTCAAATGACCAGTGACGTTGAACATTTTTTCATGTATTTATTTGCTATTTCTACTTCTTTGTCTGAGAAATGTCTATTCATTTCAGATGCCCATTTTTCGATTGGGTCTTTAAATTTGGGAGGTCTGATCTTTTAAAATTCTTTATAGATTTGAGATAGTAGTCCTTTGTCTGAGGAAGAGCAGGTGAAGATTTTTTCCCCACATTGTGGGTTATCTCTTCACACTGCTGGTGGTTTCTCTTGCTGTGCAGAAGCCTTTTAATAAGAAGAGATCCCATTTGTTGATTGTTTGTGCTAGGTCACAGGCAACTGAGGTTTTGTTCATAAAATCTTTTCCTACACCAATGTCTTCAAGGGTTCTACCTAACCTCTATTCCAACTGGTTCAGAGTTTCTATTTTAATATTTAGATCTTTAATCCATTTTGATTTTAGTTTAGTGCATGGTGAGAGATATAGGTCTAGTTTTAATCTTTGACAAGTTGAAGCCCAATTTTTCCAGCACCATTTATTAAAGAGGCTATCTTTCCTCCAGTGAGGGTGTTTGGCTCTTTTGTCGAAGATGAGATGGCTGAGTGAGTCTGGCGTTGTTTCTGCATCTTCTAATCTGTTCCACTGGTCCTCAGGTCTGTTTCTTTGCCAGTACCATGCTGTTTTTATCACAGTAGCTTTGTAGTAGAGTTGCAGGTTGGGGATTGTGATACCCCCTGCCATGTCTCTGTTACCTAGAATTGGTTTTGCTATTCTAGGTCTCTTCTTGTTCCAAATGAATTTTTGGATTGTTTTCTCAAGGAACATGACCTTATATTAAGTGGGCCATGGTTCACCTGCTCAGTTACTTACTGGAATTGCTGGCAATATTTAATTATTAAAGATAGTGCTGTAGTTAGCATCTTTGTACATTAAGCCTTTTATATTTAGCATGCTTCCTAAGATTTTTGGAAATGTAATTATTGGGTAAAAATATCATTTGTTTAAGGTTATTTTGGTTAGTGCTGTTACACAGATGTAAGTTCAGTTGTCTGACTTTTCATTAATATAACACTAGGACTTGGTGCAATGACTGATATTTTATTAAGATTTTGTATTGTCTGAATAAAAAATCTCCAGATGTCTCCAACAGTGGTAGGTTTAAACCCAATCTATATGATATAAAATCCTGTGATGTTTCAGTCATACTATTGTTATTGTTTTTGTTATTTTTATCACTATCATCCTTCCTTCTAAATTTATATTGTCCCATTTAACAGAAGACTGATCTATAGATGAGTTAAATAACTTCACTAAGATTCTATAACTATAAATGATGGTACAAGATACCAGTCCAGTCTCATTTCAGATTTTAGCCACTAAATTACACTGTCTAATAGCATTAAAATTTTGAATTTATAATGCCCAATATGATAACTTTTACAGGAAAAAAGTTTCTTTAAAATGCAACAATGAAAATTTTAATATATGAGTATATTTCCATATAGCATCCTCTAGAAGAAAAAGAAGTTAAACTGATGTCTTACCATCTATAGATAAAATTGTTCCTTGGTATCTTTTGTTAAGCATTTGATACTGTTCCATGGTAACTCTATTTCTTAAAGTGAGTATGCCTGTTTTTGAGTCAACAGCTAGCAGGTCAGCTGGATTATTTCCCATTACATATCTGTATTTGAAAGAAAACAGTACAAATTAATGTCAACTATCTAAAAAAGACTTCTGAATTATAAATTGCATTCCTCAGGTCAGTAGATATAAACTGTAGATATACTTTTTAATTAATTATTAAAGGATTACTTTTTGAAAGCAGTACCACTTATATGCATCTATTCAGAAGCAGATGAACGATCTAAGAAAGAATAATTACTGAACCATCATTTCTGATGGAATATCTTTTTATATCCACCTGGGTGGCAGAATACTCCTTTTATGTTTTCACTCTCATTGATGTTTGGTGGCAGCAGAACTATCCCAGAAGATCTAGACCCTGGGATTTCCTGGGCTGGGCCTAATCTAAACTATTCTCTTATAACAACAACAACAACAACAACAACAACAGCAACAACGATTACTATGCCTTCATCTTCATCACCTTAGCCTGTATTCCCTCCCTGTGTTTGCGCCTCCTCCCTTGCACAGTGACTTTGCAAGATTCTTCTCCAATTGCAAACTCTGTTCTTGACTTGTGAATCCATCCTATTCTTCTCTCATCTTTGACCTCGCTGTTTCCCTTCTCATCCACATACTTGTGAAACAAACACGGATAGGTAACTGTCTGTCTCAGGCATTGTGCTAAGCACAGAGAGCAGAACTTTGAGAAGAACCTAGGGTGAGGGTGAGCCTACCCTCAGTGAACTCACTGCTTGGGTTACAAGGAGGCCAATTAACAACAGTGATCCAGTGGGACAACAGTGAGGACAAACATACACTGGATGAAGAGACTGTGAAGAAAGAACTCCCATTGTTGGTGACCTCGTTGGTGAGGTCTTTTTCCTATTGTTCATGATCACAGTCGCAGGTGACGGTAAATGCACGCACACAGGCGCACACACACATACATGAGGGCACAAATATACTTCATATTAAGTGAAAGACTTGGACATAAAGGATTTTTAAAATGGCACAGCCTATTTTTTCAAGATAACTAGTTTTTCAAAGTAAAATTGCTGACCAATATTTGGTGCTGATTAAAATGAAGAAAACAACCAAAGTGAGTTAACTAGGTCTAGTCAATTTCAAGCCAAGCAACTTTGCAATGGGAAAATCAGTCCTATAAAATTTTCTCTGGCTGGGAGGTGGATGGGGTTGGGGTGGGAGATGGGGAAGACTGTAGCATATGGTAATCAGCTAATTGATCAATGAGATACATAAACACAGCTGTGCCCAAACTTTCTAGAATATTTTTCATATATTATATCTTCACAGTTTCACATCTTACATCTTGCACACATTTTTATATTTAAAAAGAAAACACTGTAAGTAGCAATTCAGTAGTCAATGCTTTTTTGCAAATTGAATGATGGTGCCAAAAATAATGGAAAATGTTTTAATTCAGATATGTAAAATTCCTAAAAACAACATGTGTATTTAAGTTCAATATGTGGTGAAAGTTGAAAACTATCACTCTTACCTAACAGTTGTTGAAGCTAAACCTGTGTCCAGGTCAGTAGCTATGAAGTCTCCCACTTTAGAATTTGCTCCCATGTTACTTGTTACCACGTATGTCTTTGAACCTGGGCGAAACACTGAGCCTTCAACTACATTTTTCACAGACACAGAGATTACAGTAGCTGTGAGTTTATATTGAGCCATAATTGAATGATGAAATTCAGCTTTATTTCTAACACCAATACTGAGTTGCAGATTGTTCATCGTTTCGTAATCTAGGGGCTAGAAAACACAGAGTGAAATAGTTTTACTACAAGAAAACATTCTGGACGAATGATTCTTTTCAGAATAGTAAAAATAATTTCTTATATTTTTTATAATTAAAGATAAAAGCATACAAATATCCAATTTATTACCTTCTTAATCTTCAGTTCAATGTAATACATGCAAATGCAACATAAGAAGAAAAAAATCCAGTTGTGCTATATCCATTGTTGAAAAATTTGAAGAAAATATGTGACATGAGCTCTAATTGCCCACCAAACTAAAAACTTAAAAAAGCACAGATGATCAAACTCATGAATTTTGTAGTGCACAATTTATGTTAGCATTTATCATTTCATGTTTCTCAGAAAGTAGCTCTATTTATAACAAAGACTGGGTCAATGACATTTGAGGTTTGATCATTTGACTAGTTTTATCCATAAAGAATTATTTAGAAGAGATTTTGCTTTTGTAAATGTGACTTTTTGAATGTTAGGTAATAGAATGTTATTATACATACAGTATGAAGAAATCCTCTTTTTCTTCAACCTATTCTAGAAAAAAACTGATTTTACATTATAAAATAATTAAGTAATGATTTTCATTATGAAAGGTGATGTCAAAAATCATAACTCAGGGGTAGGGGATTTAGCTCAGTGGTTCTGGTGCCTGCCTCGCAAGCACAAGGTCCTGAGTTCCATCCCTGGCACACACAAAAAAATCATAACTCAGAAAATCTACAAAACAACTATCCCATTATGCCCTTAGGTACCTACTATATTTTTCTGAATTTTCACATGAGAGTACAGTAATTTAGATACAAACAGAGATTTACACATTGACCTCTCTTATTTAGCTAAAATTTTGAATCTTTGCTGTAATGTTGGTTTTATTTATAGTTTAAAGAATAGCTGGCTATATTAGCATACATATTCCAAACATCTCTTTATAATTCTAACAAATGATTGAATATATGGCATTACATCTGAGAATGATTATCATCCCATTTTACAGACAGAGATACTGAGAACTACTGGATTAAGTAATTTATTAAAATAATATTATGATATGGGGAGAAGAAGAGTAAGATCCAATTGCCCTAGTAATGAAAGAATGTGAATTTCATAGCTGGGAAGCCTAGATGTGAATGGTGATTGTTCCACTTAATGAATAGCTATGGGAACTTGAGTGATTTACATCTCTCCTTGAACCTCCATCTCTTTATTGCAATAGGGGTGTGATAAAGCCTAATGTTTTGGAGTGCTTTGTGAGAGAAACTAACACATCTGTACCGTTTGAAGTAAACGGAAGCTGTCAGCATGGTGACACTTCATGAAAATAAAGGAGGCAAAAGCCCACACATTCCTATAGGAACAGAATTTTTTGAAAGTCAATTTCCCAGGGCTATTCTGAAAGAAAGAACTAGTCAAAGAGGGATTTTATTTTACTGTGAAGAACACATATTGTGTGCATTACGTATAATCTGTGGACAGCTATTATAGATTTAAAATATTAAGTCTGAGTCTATAGATTAGGGTGAAGCCTGTGCTATCTGTTTGTTAGGAGTTAGCTATTTCCCCCTCACATCTCAGAGGTAATTCTTCTGTGGGTAAGAGTGGTGGATCATTAGGACTAAATCTCTAGTATATTTTTCTAATAAACCTTGGTCAGTAGCCACAGTGAAAAGTGAATATGGTAATTCAACAATTACAATAACTTAATTTTAATTATATAAAAACACATTGGAGGAATAAACTTTCAATTTATGTGACAAATATTCTTAGTGCATGCAATTGACATATAATGCTGACATGCACATTTTAAAAATTTGCTTTAAAATACACATAAAACATTCACCTCAAGGATTAAGCTTACTTTATTGTAAGCATAAAATAAGATTTTAAAAATGTTTTCAATTTGTATTGTCTTTTGGAAGTACTGTACTGGGGAAAAGTTTGAAGTTAAAGTTAGATACCTATTTTCCTGGAATGATAAAAGCAGAAGGATTTCATGTGATAAAGTTTTATGTCATATATAATTTTAAAACATAGTAACGTTTATCCTCTCACTGATTCAAGTTTTTAAAATGTTACTCTCATATTATTTAAAACTTAACATTTTGAAAAAAAGACCAAGAAACAAAGCAACAGAATTTAAGATAATGACAGCATACCTTAACAACTTTCAGAATTCCCACATTCGTTTTTTCATTCATTTCTATCTCAAACCAATTTCCCTCATTTCCGGAGATGAAGAAAATTACTGCCACCCAGTTATCTGTGTACTCTTCATCCAAATCAATGACTCTAATCTGGTCCAAGTCTGAGTGTAGAGCATTTTCTTCAATTTCTATGCTGTACTGAAATGAGAAGTAAAAATAAAATGAAAATAGTTTGAGAGAAGAACTGTACTAGGATAAAACTGAAATGCTAACAGTTATTTACCATTTAGAAATGATATCTATGCTTATAATCTCACTTTTCTTTGCTTAAATCCATTTTTTTCCTTTTGTGTAAACAAAAAAAGTTTCTATACTTCACTTGGATGTCAGCAAACATAAAAAGTACATCAGCAAACACAATTGTTTGTATACATTTTAAAGTGTAATGAACTTAAAAGTTACTAAATTTAAAATTTCAAGAACAAATACTTACTGAAGATTTCTCCAGGTAGGGGATGTTATCATTGACATCAAGGATTTTAATGTTACAGTCGCACTCCGCTGACATGCCGTCTGCCCCACCATCTCGGTCTGAGCCTTTTACAGCAAGAGAATACTGGCCATATTGCTGCAAAAACACATCAGAAACAATATCACGCTTGACACAGACAACTTCACTCTGTCCTATGTAAAGTTCTTTGAGAATATGGGCTCAATATTTATATAAATCTATGATGGAGTCAGGGTAACACAGATTCTTGAAAATCCACACATCTCTTTCAAATCACAACTGAAGTTATCACTTGCATTTCCAACAATGTTTATCCAGCATCATTTAAAAGCAAAAGTATTTCTTCAAGGCCTCATTTCTTATTAAGCATAACATGTGCATAGGTTGGAAAAGTTTATAATATATGAAATGGATCAGAATGATCAAGGAGACATCATTTTACCAAAGGTTTATGGCACGAAAATTCCATACTTAATATAAGCCCGTCCCTAAGTGTGCCAGAAAAATAGAGATCACAACTGGTTTGTATTTTGGGGAAGTGCAGAGTTGTAACAATTGAGGTAATTGATGATGTGTCTATTTTTTATTCTCTTCAATGGTGCCGACCTTTTTAAAAGCTGGCAAAAGCTTTGGAGCCTTTCCAAGGCTCATGCGTAAGTGTACACTCATTCAAAATTATCAGTGTAAATTTTGGGCATTCATATTTAAAGAAACCTTGAGATTGCTTTATGGCTCCAGGGTTCCCAATAACAGCAAAGTTCCTTTAGTTCAGATACCGCCCCCCCACTTTGAACCTTGAGTATTAAAGAGTATTAAAGGAATCTTACTGGTCTGCTTAAGAAAGATTGAAAAAGCTAAATAATCATTTTCTTCTAATAGGAACCCTCGAACAAGTAAAAAAGAATGTTTAGCTAACTTAGAAGCCAATCACACTTGGACCATTAAAAATATAAAAATAATCTGATTTATTTAAACCTATGAGTCATTAATAGAGAAATTGCCATTTTAAAATGACTATAATAATTAAAATAAAATTTCATTGAATATCAGTTAGAAAGTAAAACATCCTCTCTCATATCCCTAATGTGCGTATAGGTTTTCTACTTTATATTTAAAGATATTTTCTTTATTAAAAAAAAGAAAAAATAGGGATTTTAAAATAAAGAAATGGGACCCCATAACATGATAGAAGCCATATAATGCTATTTCTAATACTTTAACAATCACTAGTTATCATTTGTAAATTTGGTCTGAATGTTAGTGACTATCTATTTTTCTGATTCCAAAAGTATCAGTCATTGACTTGTTAATAAGAGTTACATAAAAAGGATACAGAAAATAGTTTTGCTGTCAAAAGAACTGTAAATATTCTTGGAGCCTCCACCATGTTCACATGTGTTATGATTCATCAAGATTGGGAAATAATAGCAAATATTTCTATATTTATTTCCTTACAGAACACACCTTTTAAAAAATGGAATTTTTGTCTCTGCCCTCTGCAAATTTTAATGTGCATTCCCAATATAGTTTTCTCAACTTGAAGCAAATCCTAATCAGTTGATTAAATGAAAGATGTAGGAATAAAATGTAACTTAATAATCTGCATTTTCTCATTTGAAATATTTCTTATCATTAACATTTTGTGAAATGTTTATATAATTAAAATTTTAAAACCTTGATTTCAGAATCAGTCACTTCAAGTAAAAAACCCACTTAAAGAAAAAATTAACCTCTCTGTCTAGAAAATTGTTCATTGTTCGAATTTCTCCAGTATATCGGTTGATGATGAACATTGGAGAGTCAGAAGGTTCCTGTCTTATAATCTTGAAGGCGATTTTTGAATTCAAGTTGTTTGGTTCATCGGCATCAGTAGCATTGAGTTTCATCACCAAAGTATCTAGGAATCAAAGCAAATTTGTTGCAAATGAATAATTTATATTTCTGTGAATCATACATTATGGCATACTACCTTTCTAGCAAAATGTTAAAGTCAGTTGGTCCATGGAATGTGTATTTTACTATCTTCCCTCTCTATTTCTTCACCATATGGCTATCTTAGCTCCTTTCTTTACCTTTGTCTTCATCAAAAGATCACATTTTCCTAGGAACCTAGACATTACTATAGTTAGGAATCAAAGGAAATTTATTACTCTGGCTTTCTATTTCTTATTTTAGTATAATTTGTTCTTTTGTTTGTTCAGGATACTTTCAATAAAACTTAATTATATTAAGGCCAGATCAATTTTTTCCTGACTTTAACACTTTTTAGATGTATGATTTTGTCCATATCTCTAACTGGGGATGATAATACCATCTTCATTAAGTTCATGCAACAGTTAAATAGCTTGTAAGAGAAGCATATATAAAAGTTCTTTAGAATAATGGACTTTTAATAAATATATATTATTGTTTTGTTTCAGGTGGTCCCTATTTAAATGCTGAGTAGCTAGTAAATTTAAAGAAATGTTTGTTTTGACCATATACACTATCCTATCCTTTCTTTTCTTTTCTTTCTTTTGTTTTTTTTGGTATCAGGGATCGAACTTGGCACCTTGCGCTTGTGAAGCAGGCGAAGGAACCACTGAGCTAAATCCCCGGCCCCCTTTATTTTCAACTAATTTTATAAGTAGTTTTGTTGAAGGATACCGGAGAAGGAGAAAAGTTGCCAGTATTCATTCATAAAGTAGAATTCTTTTCTACCCTCCAAAATGTTTTAAGTACAATCAGTCTTTCTATACGTGAGCCAGGGCATCTTGTCTTCTCTTTGTCTTTCTCCTCTTCCTCCTTTCTTCTTCCCTCTCCTCATTCTCTTTCTCTCTTTATTAAATCATATTTAAGAAAGGGGGAAAACAGGAAATATTTTACATTTATTTGCTGCCAACAAAGGCATCTGCTGCAACATAGATAGTGTGGAGCTGATTTCTATGAGAGACTTTAAGATATATAACTTCTTTCTGTCCCTTCCTTTTTTTCTTCTCCCAGATTTTAGTGACCTTATCCTCTTCTGTTCTCACTGGTTTCCACACATGAATGAGAACATGTGGTATTTATCTCTCTGTGGTTGGTTTCCCTTAACAACAACGACCTCCAAGAAGTTCAATAAGGGGCAACAAAAATTCAGAGTGGATGAGTTAGTTCTGGTTAGCATAGCAGGATTATTGGTTAAAACAATCCATGTTAGGGCTGGAGATTTAGCTCCGTCACCATGCCTGCCTCACAAGTGCAAGGTCCTGAGTTCAATTCCCAGTACAAAAAAAGAGAGATATATTTCAAAATAACTAGAAAAGATGAATAGATTAATGGTTAATGAGGTGAACATGCTTATTCTGATTTGATTATCACATATTGTTACATGCATTGAACTGTCATGATGTACTTCATAAAAATGTACAGATGTTAACTCTCAATAAAAAGGCTGACTGAAAGCCACATGATCAGAAATAAGTGGGCAGCAATGCAGCAAGGCTGGGAGGCTACTTCTCACCTTATGCCCCTGCCACTACTGTGCAAAATACTCTTGGAATTTCTAGTTAGGAATCTCCCTAAGAGCGAGTATATGAGTCACATGAGTAAATTGTCCTTGTTTCTTTTGTTCATTGTATATGACACATTGGAGCTACTTCCATAGCTGAAGGGATAGACTTTCTGATTGGAATGTTTTCCTGCAGCGTATGTTTTAACATTCATGATGTTTGACACAATTTAGTCTGTAGTTGCCTGGGTGTTAAGAATGATCTTGAGGCCTATATATTCTTGTTTACCTAAAAAAATAGATTACGTACTTGCATTAGAATTTTCTTCTATTTGTCCTATAAATGTAGCCATGGAAAACACTGGAGGGTTGTCATTTATATCCAAAACCCTGACTCTGAGCTCAAGTGGCCTCTCTAAATCTTGACCTTGTGAATTCAAAGCCCGGCAAACAATCTAGGAGAGAAAAAAATGGTTATATGGTGAAACACATATTTATTAAGTTCCACTTTTGGAGCGGTATTTTGCGATGTGGGAAATTAAAAGAGAAATAATACATATTATTATTTCCTATTAGAATATAGGCACAAGTAATATATATAATCAATGAGGGAGGGCAAACATAAATGCAAAGTGATTTTTAAAAAGGCAACACATGATAAGCTGTACTAGGAAGAACAAAAGTATTCTGATTTTGTAGCAGAATATAATGATTGAAATAAATCTTGAAAGAGAATTTCAATAGATAGATCTGGAAATTGGCAAGGTGTTCCAAGCAAAGGGGTTCTTATCAGGAAAGAAATGGAATGATGCAAAAGTTGCATTAGAAAATAGGAATAAGGGTTATGGTGGGAGTGGTGAAAATGTTGTAAAGGAGGGTCCCATGGGAACTTCAAAGAAATGTAGCACTCTTAAACTACGTAGTGCCTTTGTGGGTGTTTATTATTATTATCTGAAGTGTGCATAAGTACCATGTGTACTATTTCACATATATTGTATATTTTGTATAAAAATATTATGCTTTAATAAAAGCCAATAGATTGGGTGGCTGATTTGGAGAGATTGTGGGGAAACATATGGAGTAAAAGGTAGAACTGTAGATAAATTAAAAGGAATTAAAATCTAGGGAATTAAAGTAGTCCCAGGAATGAGAAGTATGTGCAAGAGCAGCAAATGCAGTTTACTATTTGAAGGTGTTTTGGGATATGGATTGCTTGGGGTTTTTTTTCCCAATTAAGTTTATTGGTACATTTTAGGTATAAAATACAGTTACATTCATCATTGGGATCTTGTACCATTACATGAGTTTCTTGGTTCTTTTTTTCCCCCCTTCCCCTGCCCTCCCTTCACCCACTCTACCCTTCCCTATTTGCAAAGACTTTGTTTCCATTTTTTTCTTTTCTCATATTTTTTCTTTTCCTTTTTTTCCTTTCCCCTACCCCTCCCACTTCCCCTGCACCTTTAGACCTTTTCTTCCTGTTACACAATATCAATTATACATTTTTTAAATTACAATATCAAGATCTAGGAGACATTACCACAGATTTTACAGAATTTAAAAGGATATAAAAGCATATTTCAAAAAATCTGTTTTGAAATAAATTTGACAGCTTCTAAGAAGTACCTTGGAAGACAAATTAATGAAACTGACTCTGGAGGAAATATAAAATTTGAATAGCACCTATTAAAGAAAGTATATTCCTAGCTTGAAAACCTACCTGTATAACAGCAGGCTCATATACATTTTAACTGATAAATTATATCAAACAATTACAGCAGAAAAAAGAAGGAAGACTTCTCCCCTCATTTTAGGAAATCAACATTGTGCTAATCCTAAAACTGGATAAAGATTATAGCAGAAAAAAGTATGAATGTAAATAGAAATTTGTTTAACAAAACAAACTATTAGAAGTCAGACCTGGCAGTATGTAGAAAGTGGTTTTGTTATAGGGATAGCAGTGTTGGTTCAGCATTGGAAGATCCACCCCTAAAAGTCATCATGTTAACAGAGGAAAGGAAAAAGCCATATGATCCTGTCACTAGTTGGAGAAAAAGTATTGGACTAAATTCTACAGCTGTTCACGGTAAAAGCTATCAGGAGACTAGAAGTAGTTTTAATAGAAGAGAATACAAGATCAAAGAAGGGATTTTTATTCCTTTCTTTTTCTTTTTTTCTTTTAAGTATTAAGAAGTGTTGGCCACCACGATGGGTGGAAATGGAAGCAGTCAATGGGGTAAGCAGAAGAGAGATGATAAAACAAAGTTGAGGGAATAAGGTTCCTGAAGAAATAAGTAATTAAGGGACAATGAGAATGTCTTGAGGTACACTGTGGGAAACAGTGAAAAACTGAATATGCTTCTAGACTGAATGAATAACACTTCTGGAGGAGAGAGTATTGTGGGAATTTGTGATAAGTGGCCTCAGCCTTTCAAATGAAGTGCCTTAAAGTGAAATGGGGTTGGGGGTTGGAAGGCAGAGGGTGTTTAGGCTGTGTGACAGTTCCTGTGAAGAATGGAGGGAGATGCAGAGAAGGACAGATGCATTTCCAAGGCTCATTTAGAGCTCAGGTGAGCCCAAGCAAAGTTATAATAAAGTATGTTCAGTCAGAAAAGAATCCTGTGGTAGTTCCAGAATCATAGCTAGGCAATCAAGTTCAAAGGAAGCGGCATTTTCAATTTGAAAAAAAATTAAAATAAAATATTAAGAGTTGGTCACTTGTCTTTCCAAACAAATATTCTGGTGTCCTATGAGGGTTGAGTGATATTTTTGCTAACACCTCAGAAAAAAATATTCCCCTTTCTCTTAATTTTCTTTGTATCTATCTATTGAGATGATTCTAAATTGAGACAAGCAAAAATGCCCATATTATGACTCTTGAAATCAATCAAGCATGATATGAGTTTAAGATTTTCCAAGAAAAATTCCAAGATTTTCCCAAGAACATATATGCTGACATGAAACCCACTTACAATGAAATAAGGAGTGACCTCTCGATCAACTATAGATGTTATATTAATTTCACCAGTTTTTTGATTAATTACAAAGATTCCATAAGGTGGCTGATCAATTCCTACTCCAGAGATGCGGTAGGTAACTTGCTGGTTTGCAGCACAATCTGAATGAATCTGCAGAAGGAACACAGTAGAAATATTACAGAAAGGAAATAACCCTACATCTTATAGATAATAGGTATCTTTCTTGAGAATTGTTCAATGTGCTGTCCTTGTTATTTGGGAAACATTGAAAACAAAGCATTGTTTTGTTAGATGTGTATAATAATTATAGAATTTTCAGTAATGACTGTATAAAAAGTGCAGTATTTTTAACAGTAATTGGCAATGTAATAAAAGAAGTTCAATTTCTATTTCTCCCAAACAATAAAAATATAAGCTATCACCCTAACAAATCTAAGTCCATGCAGTCATCATTCACTCAACATTTATAATTTCAGTCTGTTTTCAGACATTCCTCATTTAATGACATCCCTGTTTAAAGACTGTTCGGACTTATGACTTGCTGCTTGGACTTATAGCCCTTCTTTTTTTTTGCACAGTTGGACACATCTTGTTTATAAAGCCTCAGTGTCATTTTTGTACAGTACATCTTGTTTATGCAAAACTGTAATTTTTTGCTGATTGCATTATATAGTACAGTACTGTAGTTTTATGTTCTGTATACATTACAGCACTGCATGTGAGAGTTATGCAAATAAAAGCAAAGTCATCTTTTGACCATTTTTTTACTCTGAATTTTGTAATATGCATACTACTACATACAATACCTTATTCAGCAACCAATCATTTAACGACTTGGTTGCAGGAGCAGAACTCACTTAGTCTTCAGCTTAAAAAACTTAAAAAAGTATAAAGTGTTAGCACAAAATTTTAAGTGAATTTATATAGGTAACAAAAGTTACTTGACTCTATGTGGAAGGTTTTAATTCTGAAGATAGGGGTGATGTATTAGCAGAAAAGGAAAGAGGTCAGTCCACTTTTCTTGAAATACAGTGTTATATGACTAAGCAAATCTTACTGGGAAGTGTGTATATCTGTGTGAATGTCTGTATTTGTGTTCATAACTAACTATATGTGTGTGTGTATGTGTGCACATGTGTTTTTAGAGGAAGATAGGAAAATAAAAGTAAAAAGTCAGTATGAAAGGGGTACAGTATGAATGTTCACAAGTAAGCACAGAAGTAACGCTCAATCCTAACAGATTATGAAGCAGAAATGGTACATGTTGAAATTCCTCTGTGTATGCTAAGTGCTAAATTCATTCTTTAATTCATTTTTTTTTTCATTCAGCATTCAGGGTGACATATGCTCATGTTTATTAGTTTTGCCAGTAAGGTGAGCTGATGTTTAACTGTTTATCTGAATATATAATTTTTAAAAATTTGTCTTTTTTGGAACTTTAATTTTCATAATTTAAATGATTATAGCTCTATATCGTAACTTCTCAATAAGATATGCTCACAAATTATTTCAAAGACTGGTTCTTTTGGAACTTCAACCCACCCAATTTAAGTATCACATCTAGGCTTTGGGGCTATCACTTACTTTGGCAATTGGGTTTCTCTTGGAGTTGTCTTCGCCTTCGCGGCAGGCTGCAGCAAACTTGATCCATTCACGCTTTTGTCTTCTGATTGAATGCCACTTGATGGTGCCATTTTTAGCATTATGATCTCTTACCTTGATAAGTACGGTAAAGTAATAATATGTATTAATTTTATTTATGATTCATATTCCACTGGATATTTTGGAGATGGAATAATTATATCAGAGAGGATATTTAAGTAGGAAAATTGATAATTTTGATAGTCTATTAACTTTATTTATAAGAATGAATTTCCTTTGTAAAACATGTTATTCCCAAACCTTTTTTGGGGGGGCAGTTGGGTACCAGGGATCAAACTTGGGACCTTGTGCTTGTGAGGCAGGTGGTGGCACCACTAAGCTAAATCCTCAGCCCCCAAACCATTATTTTTTTAAAATTTGGAGTAAATGGATTTGTTATACATTACCTGGATTCGAAATTCACTGTTAACTTCAGCCATGACCTATAAAAAAACAAGATAATCACAATAGTTAATTTTTAATTGGATGGTTTGAAATTATTAAATCATTTAAAAATCAAACAACATTCTTGTGAGTTATTAGAATTATTTATCAGTCTGAAGAGCAAGTGGATCTGGCTTATGTCTTGGGCCTGATGCTAAGTTAAGAATTTTTTTTGATTTTACATCTCAGTTTTGCTTTCCTTTTTCCATTTCATTCTTAGCCTGTGTTGATACTCATAATCATATGGGTAGCATATCTGAAGCTACAACTCAGAGAGAATTAAGGTCAGAAACTCAAGCTCTCCTAGTAAACCCTGGTCTGGAAAGTGCGAGTTACTCAGATGGTATTCAGCGGTTTCCGTAATTTGCAGGTGTGATGCTAAAGCATTTCATTAGTTTCAGGGTCTGAACAAGGGTACATGGAAATAGAAAAAAGTGTTCAGAGTGAAGAAGGAATATGAAGTGGAAACATTCAGAAAACTTCAGAATGATTGTTCCTTCACATGCCAATCCTAGAGGGAAGATTTTCTAGTATTCTTTTTTTAAAATTTTTTTTAAAGTTTTCTTCCTGAAAGTATTCCCTATTTTTTATTGGTCTTATGCATAAGTACCTCGTACTTATTTATTTAAAATTTTTTTTTATATTTTTAAATTTTTATTTATTTATTTTTTCATACCCGGGATTGAACTCCCCACCTTGAGCTTGTGAGGCAGGTGGCAGAACCACTGAGCTAAATCCCCGGCCCCATAGTACTCTTGAAAATTTTAAGATGATATATTTTTTTCACCTTCTTTGAAATATGAAAAAAAAGTTCTGATACTAAATAATTTCCTTTATGTGAAAATGAATTCATGTTTGGTGTTTTATTGTGAGCACTAAAACCAAAATAGATGATATAAATTCATCCTACCATAGCAAGGAGAGGAAAACACAGAGTGTAGGGAGTCTTTTCTCCTGTGTTAAACAATTTCCCTGGTCAAACAAGTGTGCTAGTCAAGAAGAGCTCTGGCTACTTTAAGCTGGCCTTGATCTTCTTATATGACTTGTAGTGAAACATAAGGATAATTTAAATTATTTTTCTTTCAAAAACACAGGCCTTTCTTAAAACACAGATTTCACATATGGAGCCTAAAGTGCCTATATAAAGTGTATATTTTGAAAACTAAGAGTGGACTCGAAGCCTAGTTCACATGTATTGAAATTTCAATTGAACTAGTTTGCATTTTTAAAAATTTCAAATTTCAGAATCTATTAAAAAAGTATATCTTTAGTTTTTTATTTCTTCCTAATTAAGAGATGTTCAATTCGTAATTAAAATTTTTTCACAATCAGACTTTATTTGCATCACTAACACAAGACAATTATGTTGCATTTAAAAAATACCAATAGTGGTAATTTTTAAATATAGTAAATTACTTTTTTTATGGTTGGTTTCAATTTTACCCTTAAAGAAAATATAACATTTTAGTCTACAAGTACATATTTTTAAAAATTGTCATGAGTGTTAATTTGAGAAACCAAGAATTTATGGCTAATGTGAGCAGTGTAAAGAGAGAATTATTTAGTCATGATATAATACTAGTCATTATAATTATCACAGTTATAATTCACTGATAATGATAATGTTTTCAGAAAAATATGTGAATTTACTCTTCATACCAAATGCACTATTAGTATGTCCATTTTATTTTGTAAAATTATGGGTATATTTTTGCAATACATTCTTATCTCTATTTTACAGATGAAGAAATTGAAGCTTGGATATTAACTTATAGCTGCATACAATCCCATGAATTTCAGCTTAGATCTGGGCTCTGAACTATTCTCTCAATTAAATTACTAAGTAAAACATTCTATGGGGAATAAATATTGGATTTTTAAGAACTAAAAAAATTCTGGTTTTAATTAAATTTCAAGTTATCCTTGCCTTAGTCATGTTTACATATAACAACAACAATAGAAATAAAAGGGGAGACTAAGGGATGCTAAATGGCCCAGATGGTGGCACGGGTAACTGCAGAGTTGTCCGTAGAGTCCATTTTGAGTGCAGAAGGAAAGGACATTAATGCAAAGGCAGTCTCTCTGCTACCTGTGAAGTCATGCGCAGTTTTCCCTCTGTGTAGTTTGTGGGTGCATGACGGGGGCGCGGGGAAGCCTCACTTGTCTGGTTGGAAGTCACGTGCACAGCACAATGTACACATCTGTTACCTGCTTTGTGCTTCTCTTCCCGCAGTGAAGTGTCAGAGCCTGCTGTTTGCTTTGGATCACTACGCCGGATGACTAAGAAGTCTTTCTGACTTTATGAAGCTGGGTCATTCTTTTTCCCATGAGAGGCGATTTAGGCAGAAGGCCAAGTAGGTTTCACCATAGTGTCAGACTCTCAATTGCATGGGTAATTAAAAAACTGCCACGTCTGCTTAAAGATGTGGCTAGTTGACCTAAGCTTATTTCCTTTTGCTTGGGGTCCAGAATAAACTCTGATACAAACCTTCAAATGCAAAATGAAATGAAAAGATTACAGGGTAGAGTAAGAAAACTTTCAATGTATTTTCCAAATTCTCTGAGCTTTAGTTTGCTCATGTGTAATATGGGTTAGACTAGCTTATGTACAAAGTTTCTTTTCTAGTCAAACACCAAATCCTTGTGTACAGTAGGACAATACTGAAGTATTTTGATCATGGGAAAGGTACGCTAAAATTGTGGGTTTAAGAGATTCCTCAGACAATGGTAGGTAGGAGTGGTGGGCAGAGGGTGTGATCACAGGCTGAGAGCAGTGAATCTTCTGTAGCAAGTCAGGCTGGTGTCGAGGAGGGGGTAAACAGAAGCACAAGCAATGGGAACCACAGAAAAAGATCAAGGTGACATACTGGATGGATAGCATAGACAGGAATTGAAGACAGATGGGATGGGGTAGTCAGGAGAGGAAGTGGGAATCTCAGCTGGTGACAGTTTTTAAGAATGGGACTGGAAACAAAGCGGTTGCAGCATTTAGATGAGAACATACTGAATTTGAGACGCCGGAGAAATGCTCAGGTAAAGATACTAAGCAGTTTGAAATGAGCATTAGCACTTTGAACAAAAGTCCAGCCTGGATATGCAGATTTGAAACATCTGCTCAGGGAGGGTAGTAGTGGAAATCATGGTAGAATTTGAAATTCCTAAGGTAGGGGTTACAGCAAAGAAACAGCCTGTGGCTGAGGAGGACAGTAGGGGAATTCCTACACTTGTAGAACTGGAAACAAGTATAACCAAGAAGAAACAAAGAGAGAAGCTAGAGAAACAATGAGAAAATATCATGCATTATAGGAGCTGTTAAAGGAGGGGAAAACTGAAAGATGGATGGAGTGGGCATAAATATCAGTATCACATGATACAAAAAAAAAAAAACAATTGAGCTGAGTGAATCCTCAGGAAAGCCTGAGGTTTTCAGCAATCTTTAGGAGAATTTTTCCAGTTGGATGGAAGAAGTATTTGGGTGCAAAGGATTAGGAATAAAAAGAGGGACAAAGACAGTCATTTTTCAAAAACTTTGGTGATAAAAGAAACTGGAACACAAAATGATAGAATTAGAAGAAGGTATCAAGGAAATTTTGATCTGGAAGATCTGTAGATTTTGGAAAGTTGACAAAGGAGAGCAGGATAGTTTGATCTGAAAGAAAAGAGATTCAAAACAAAGATACTCAGTAGGGGTGTTGATGGGGAGAGGAAGAGGGGAAAAGGAAGAAATGAAAGGACTTGGGTGACAGAGGGTAGGGAAAGGATGGGGATTGCAGTAAAGTGACTGGGAAAGGAAAGCTGAAGTACGTTGTTGGGAGTGACCTAGATCCTGTCAGGTGGCGCTGGCCCATGGGTGAGGCTGTTTTCTGACAATGAAGGGAGTGGTTGGAGTTCAGAAACAATTTGGGAATCTGTGTAAGGAGGCTGGAATGGAGATTTACTCAGCAGGGAATGGGAGGGGGTCAAGCTGAATGTATATCAGCTCTCCGCCTACTGATTTGGGGACTGGGGAAGTCACTTAGCCAATCTGTGCCTCAGTTTCCTCACCTGTGTATGACACCCAAAACCCTTTGTACACCTAGAATTCTGTGAAGCAGTGAATAACTCACTTGAAGTGAATTTTCAATGACTTCTTCCTTTCAACTCTGTTTTAGGAACCAATCCATTTGTTTATTTTATTAAAGCCACAGGATGCAAAAGTGTTAATTTAATGATTCCCTAGTTACAGTTAATTTTAGCGATTTTTGATGTTGAAGTTTATTTTGTTTATAATAAAAATAAACTGGAGAAAATTTTTATAAGGAAAATTATTGCATCTAATATTGTAAAGTAGTCACAATTTGTTAAATATCAAATTCTAATGTATTTGTTAATTCTTATGGAAGTCACAGGGAGGCACTTGAAAGAAAAGTAAAATATAATTTATTTCTTTTTGGAAACTTCCTCTTTTGCCTTTCTTTTTGACTGCTCTGACACAGGCTATTAGTCTGGGTCTGACCATAATCCAGTGGCTTGATTTCTCATATTTATTCATTGGTTTATTTCTTTGATAAATATGTATTGTTTATGTGTTTAATGGATCCAAGGCTGCATTAAGATTTTTTAAGGGCTAACTCTAAAAATATTATGGTAAGCCTTAGATGAAGTGTCAAGTAAATGTAATACTATCCCACAAAAGTGTTAAGAAAATCCAACATGATTATTTCCATGCTAATGCCTTGACAGTTGTCAGGAGTGCGTGTGAGAAGAGAAATATAAACCAGCCCCCAATCCCCCTGCTGTGTGTGATGAGGCACTTGTTGGGCAATCTTGCATGGTGCAAGGTGCTGAGTGGGTACAAAGGTGAATCAGACCCAGATCCTGCCTTCAAATAACTTACAGTCAAGTAGTTTCATAAGCAATGGGCAGCTACTAATTTGTGGAGTTGGACAAGTGTAAAAGACTGTGGTCTGCTCTTGTAGACCAATTAAGAGCATGGATCAGCTGCCAATGACATTTTAAGAAGTCTGACCTGTCTAAGTCCATTAAAGAAATCTGAGTGCCAAGCATGATCTGCGAGGGTGGCATGACCCAGCACTCGGGAAGGGTGTTACCTCAGTTGAGGCAGCAAAAGAAATACAAGTGCAATGCCATGCGGAGCAGGCTTCCTGCTTCTACCTGAGACAGTGCCTGTAGGACACAAGGATTCGCATCAGCAGGGCTCCGGTGAACAAGGAGTGGAGAGTCAACAGACATGAAGTACTCTGGGCAGAGGCCTGAGAGTCATTTTTTTTAAATTGATGAGCCTCTTCAAAGTAGGCAAGTCTTGTCCCTTAGGGCTAGGCCTTCAGATTTAACATGACAGTATTCCTCAGTGTTCTTTCCTATTACTGGAGAGGGCAAAAGGTTTTAACTCTGTGGCAACTCCAATAAATTGAGTAGTGATGAATTTCTATTCTCTGTGTTTGTGAAGGTGAAAGAAGATGCTGATCCTGAATCTGCATTGAAAATAATAGAACTTTAAATGGAAGTGATTTTGCTTAAATATAATTTGTAAGTTTCACTGAACAGGGGAACAAAAATACTGTTTCCATTTTTTATAAAATATTTTGCTGATATACTAATCTCTGTAATGTACAGCACTAAAATATATGCATAAGAAAACATAAAGAGTACTTCCTGGGTTGTCTTCTCTTTGGTCTTTGATTTGAGGGATGGTGAACACAATTAAGGGAACTTAAGTTGTCTCGTTCAAATAAATCAATGAGCGATATAAAAATAAATGTTATTTTCAATGCATTTTAGCCTGTGTGTTGAGAAATACTAGAAAAACTATTGCTCATTCCCTAAAGGATTTCAATCAAGTTCAAATTATGGAGTTTGTTAATCAGGTAGAGATTTTTTTGAATGAAAATATTAACCTATAGAAAAAGGAGAAGATAGTATGATAAAATGAAAAAAATCAGATCATTTGTGCTGATAGATAAAAATAGTTTTATCTGTTCTTTGAGCTTAAGCTACAGAGGTTTGCCTTTATAGAAAAAGATCTTGTCAGGCCCCAGCATGGTGGTGCACACAGGTATTCCCAGCACTCTGTGAGGCTGAGGCAGGAGGGTTGCAAATTCATGTCCAGTGTGGGCAATTTAGCAACTTAGGGAGACCCTGTCTCAAAAAGCGGGGGGGGGGGGGCAGTGGAGACTAGGGATGTTGCTCAGTGCAAAAGGCTTAGGTTAAATCTGTACTGCAAAAATAAAAATCAGTTTTTCAGATTGTATACATGTTAATAGATTAATTGGACCTGGCAATGTTGCAAGCAATTTTCAGAAATCATTAGAACTCTAGAAATTCTACTGGTTCTGTTTTACTTTCCCACAGTGACCATGTTCTTTATTTTACCGTTGTTATAACCATCCACACAGATTTCTTACATTTGGTGCATAGATAACATCATTCTCTGGCTAAAAGAAAATACGTTCTAACTCCTCCCTCCACTCCATACATTGACTTTATAGAGAGAAAAAGAAAGAAAGAAAGAAAGAAAGAAAGAAAGAAAGAAAGATCGTTCTTATCTTGCAGCGTTATAGTGGGGGTGAGCTATTGTCTTTTCTGAAGACTTGTCTGAATAATGCGATATTCATGTAGCAATCTCAGTCACTTTAGGAGCAGCACCTCTGCTTTTGTTTTTGTTTTGTTTTCTTTTGTTTGCTGTACTGAGGATTAAATCCAGGGCGCTCTAACACTAAGCTGCATCCACAGTACTTTTTTTTGTTCGTTTGGAGACACAGCCTTGGTAAGTTGCCTAGGCTGGGCTCCAACTTGTGAAATTCCTGTCTCAGAGTCCAGATTGATTAAATTAGGATGACAGGCATTGGCCACTGCACCAGCTCCTCTGCTTCATGCTTTCTGATCTAACCCACTAATCTGAACAAGATATAAAGCTTTCACATAGACTGAGCAGATTTCACAGCAGACAGTTGCCCAGTTCTCACATGTTTTGCCTTAAAGATACTATGAATTTTTCAACTATATTCCTAACATGAATTTCCATTTATCCACTTTGAGCAGAGAAGAATATAATTTCTTCATGAAGACCATTTTTTCTTTTTCTGGTAAAAGGAAACATTCATATTGAGACTAGAGGAAAGGAAACTGGAAGAATTTGCTGTAGTCCTAGTTGTCTTCAGGGAAAAAATATTTTAAAACAAAACACAGACATTTAACTCCAAAGGACAGTTACAAAAACTGTCTGGTAAAATCAACAGTAAAAATAAATTGTGATCTTCAAAGCCTTAGAAAGTGTAATGTTTAACAAAACGTTATGATATCAATGTGAAAATAAGACATCTGAGTTCATTGTATTTTTTAAAGAAATAATTTTCACAAGGCATATGAGAAACTAATGGGTGATTCCAAAGTGAAATATGCCCCCCCTCTTCCAAAGCCAATCCACAAACAAACAAAACAACATATCCTGGCTCAGAAAATAAAATGCAAATCCCCAGAAAACTCTCTCCAAATGCAGAAAGTTCTGTGAGGATACACAATTTTGGTAAAGTGATAGATTTTACTGAAGAATGACTAATTAGAAATGGCTGTTTAAAGAAGTTTTATAGGGTGTAATTCATTAGAAATAATTATATAAATTAAAAAATATGTCAAATATAGATTCAACGAAATTTAGTGTAAAAGTATCTGAAAGAACTTTCATCAATTCAAACTATACAATAATCATCAATGAGTCAAACTTATATAAAATTAGAAATAAAAACATTCAATTGTTTGACAATACACAATGTTCTATGGGCAGCATGCTGTATAATGCTCACTGATCCCAGTCATAACCCAACTTGTGACATCAACTAATCTTAAAAGGCCATTAAAACGTCCATGGAATAGGAGCAATTGTTGAAGGGCAACATTAGAACTAAAGCCATCATGGCACTGATGCTTGTATATAACTGGTTTTGATCCCTCGTAGGTAATCAACTAACCAGCATACCGTGAATCAAAGACCTAACTTGTCATTATACAAACCCAACTTTCCAGTTCAGAACTCAAGCAAGTGGAGGCAGATCCACACCACATCCTGCCAAAGCTAGAGGGCGATTTACCTGGCACAGACCTCTGGGTTACATGAACCTTACTGTGAGAGAGACTCTGACTTTAAACTTTTGGCTGAATGTGAAATTGATACAAAATATTGATGTTGCACTTAGTATTCATCACCTCTGAAAAGACAGAACTAGCAACGTGAAAGAGGGGGATTAATAAGGCATTTCACTACATTGACCACGGAATACACCTTTCCTACTAAAGTCACCACTGACTTTCTGTGGTGAGAATAAGTACAGTGATAGCTATGTTTATTTTTTAATTACAGCCGTCCTTTACCTACTCTGCTATTTATAAATCTCCTATATGTCACTTTAAAATAAAACTATTGTTTTAAATCAAATTATCATTACCCAATGTGGGGCTTTTGATATTAGTAGTATGGATTCTAACAGCACATAAATTAGTGAGATGGCTCAGATTCTGAAGACAGTCACAGATTGCTATGATTTTAATTTGTATGAATTCTGTTTTCATGTCTTAAAAATTATAGTGACCCTGCCACCAAAGATACCAAAAGAATAGGATAATGTTTAGGTTGAATATCAGGAGACACCTGTAACATTTCGTTTAAAAGTCCACCTGCACATGAGGATCTGAAACAGGAAACTAAGGAACGTCCTCAGTTCAATATTTTCTCAGCGTGACTTAGCAGTGACTTCAATGTCAGGTTTATGATATGATGAATGGACATAGATGTGGTTAATATGATCTGGAGTCTTCAATTAAGGTAAGAAACACTATTTAAAAATCCACTTCATAAAATCACCTTGTCATTAGCATAAACTTTTAATGGGTTTAGGTTAGAAGTACCACTAAATAACATTGTCTGCAAAGTTCTCACTTGCTTTGGATGAGGATGGGTCGGAAGGAATTCCCTGCAGGATCCACTTACCAGGCAGAGGAGCAGGACAGCTGCTGTGAAGGGTGGCCAGTCCATCGCTGCCGTGGCGTCCCTTACATCCAAGACCAAGGGAGTTTTGTTTGTTCTTCTCCTTTTTCTTTCTCCCACTCAACAGGTGTCTGATTAAAATGATTTCTCAGTAGATGTTCTTACATGCAGGCTTTGAGGTGTTTCTGCCTTCCCCTGGGAGAAGGACTGAGGTACGTATAACCAGTCTGGATCCCCACCCTAAAAACTTGGGCTGGTCTCACTGAAATACTTGACAAGATCATCATTGCTCCCAGATAAAAGCTTAGGGACACACCCTTCTTCCAGTTGAAAGCAGCTTTCCACAGGGTGAGGAAGATTCATAGCTCTGCTGAAGGTTTTCAGTGGCAGGCATGTCAAGTGACCAAAACATGGAGTTATGCAATTCATAGGGACTTCTCATCCTGGGCTTTATTTACTAGTTGTTTAACTCTTTCCATATTAAAAAGGGAGGGATAGTTTGGGTGGTCATGTAATTCAGAGGATTATCTGGCTCATGTTCAACCTTACCCCTCCAGACATGGTAGACAATTATAAGATTTCCATTTTAGTAGATGTTAGGAAAGATTTAGTTATTTTCTAAGAGACAAAAAAATTGCTAATGTTGAGACTGAGGAGTTTTAAAATTTTTTTGTGTGTGGAAAGCATTAATTCACTCAAACAACCCTATGGTACTTACAATTATTAGCTCTTCTACGCCAAGTCACAATTTACTTTAAGTGGCCAGCCTGACTCTCATAGAAGCCTCCATTTTTTCTCTAAATGAATATTTTCTCTCTCCAGTTATTTTTCTCCTTGAAAGAATCCTATCCTTTTCAAACACAGTAAAATAAACTTAAAATATTTAGTCACTAAACTAGATCCAAACTAAGCAATATAAAAGACCAATGAAATCCTGTTGACAATTTTAAAAATGAAGTGCAGTGCCTGCAATACTAATGGAGTCACCGAAAGCCCTTCTTCAAGTGAGGTGTGTTAAAAGTCAGCGCCGATTCCCAAGCACAGAGCCAAGAATCCACATAGTGAGCCAATTAGAACATAAGGAGCACTCTGAGGAAACAGCTGCCCACACATGCAGATGGAAAGCTGAACGCAGCCCGAGGCTTCCGAGAATAGTGACCCTTACAAGGCAGTGCTTGAACACAACATTGGCGCATCTTCTCCTCACCTGGCGATACAAACATCGCGAGTGGCAGAAAGCCTATAGGTGCTGGATGGCTTCATAGTTGGAAATGCTACACTGGAAAAACAGAGCTATCTGATAAGATGCTGATTATACTCAAAGGATGCTGAAAGTGCCCCAGAGAGGGAGAAAGTGTTTCTGAGGTCAGATAGTCCGCAGGATGCTGCCATTTTACTACAGATGAGGCAAAGATCGATGGTGGTTTGAAATGCCTTGTCCTACATGATAGAGTGCAGAGAGAAGATAGAAGGCTGCCTGGGTTTGCTTGCAATGAATAAAAATTGTAAGGATTGGTTGATGTGAATAAATAAAATAAAAGGAGATGAGCAGGCCAAATTTCTCATTAGTCAAGTAAAATAGAATGTGAGCGTGGACCTGTGAGTTTGGCTGAGCAATGTATTAGTAGGATTTCTGACAGAAGATTCACTGGGACAGAAGAATCTACTCTTGTAGCCTTCTAGTGGCAAGTGAGTGCTTTACCCTCCTTGGATTCTCGGTCCCTCTTCATCTATCTCCCTGAAGCCCAGCCCTGGCTCCACTCCTAACTTAATGCCTTACTCCAATAATCCCAACCAAATAGAGAGATTTGTGGGGCAGCTTTCTGGAGAGGGAGTGTGGCAGAACCCCAGTGCGTCAGTGCAGTGGCAGTCCTGATTGTCGCATAATAGCTAGTGACATTAAGCACAGTGAGAGAGGGAAATTATGAAACATTATCCTTCTTTCTTTCTCTCTTTCCCTGTATTTTTCTTCTTACTCATTTTAATGTCCTTACTATAGTGCTGTCCAGTAGAACTTTCTGCAAGGTACAAATATTCTCTGTGCTTTTCAAAATGGTAGCCACTTGCTCCTGTGACTATCGAGCATTTGAATTATGGCTAATATGACTGAGGAACTAAATTTGTAACTTTATTTAAGTTAAATTACATTTAAATAAGCACACGTGGCTAGTGGCCACCCTGATGGACAGTTCAGTGGGGTTAAAACTTTTGTTATCTTCTCTCTTACTCAATTCCCTCTGATTTTTAAAAATGCAACTCCCTTCAATCAAACCTACCTTATTTCTTTTCTTAGCTCTACCTTCATTCCAGTTTCTAATTTACACCTTTGAAAATCCTTACCTTTGTGTAATCCTCTTGTCTCAGTGGACTCCAATTGCTTTTCCTGACTCCTTATTGATCCTCTTTCCTGATACCTGTGAATTAAAATACTTTAAGGCACTGGGAACACGAGCTCACGTTCCATGGTTAGTTCTTTCTTCTTCTTTCTCAGTTCTTTCTTGCAGTTGGCTCATCAGTGAGCTCACACCACATTGCAGCACAAGAGGCTCTCCATGCAGCTGCTTTTGTCCATGCACCCACATCCTGCTTCTGTTCTCAGTACTGGTTAGTATGTGTACTTCTCTATACATACCAACGGTTCTCATTCTGTGGAGATTTGACAAAATCTGGCGTAATTTTTCTATTGGAATTTCCCTGGTAAAATGACAAAGTTTCCAATAGTGATCAAAGTTCTCCTGAGAAGATGGTTTTCCTCTCTTTAATAAGGCATTGCAAACTCTTGAACATCATCCCAAGAGTCCGCATTTTTATATTTATTTACAGCTGGGAAAACTGCAACAGTTTTTGGAAAGTTGAAAACAGTGATAAATTTTACTCACTTAGAATTTTTTTTAAGTCTAATGAAAGTAACTGATTGTTGTAGCCAACATCATTACTGGGTACCCATACCATGTAAAACTATGGTTTCATGTATTTGTCGAAATTATCCTAATCAGCCTTGCCACTTGTTTTAAAAAATATATGAAAAATAAAAATAAATCTTAAAAATGGAGGAGAAATCAAAATAAGTGTACTAAGGGTAATTCAAAAATTATAAATTTCATTAGATTATGTGTTTATTTTTAGAAATTTGCTTAATTACATAATTGAAAATTTTCATAATAAAATAAAGATACTGGACTACAGTAGGGGTTGCAAAATTATAGCCATGAACCAAGTCTGGCTCACTGCCTATTTTTTGTTTTGTTTTGTTTTTAAATATGCAGACGTACTTATTTGCATGTACGTTGTCTATGGTTACTTTCACTCTACAAAAGCAGAACTGAATAGTGTGACGGAGACTGTACAGCCTGCAGAGCCTAAAATAAGTCCTTCTCTGGCCCTTTCCAGAGAAAGCTTGCCTACTCTTGGACTGGATGAATAGATTATAGACGGTGGCATGAAACAGAACTCATTAGGAAATCAGCTGATTTTAGGAAGTTTCACAAGGTTGTTCTGAAGGATGTGAAGAAAAGTTATGATGACTAAAAATGACCAGGAATATTTATGCTGAAGATTACAATTTTTCAAACTTCTGCATGAAACTTTTGCATATGTTACCTAGAAATTTAAAGATCAAGAATTTGAAGAGAAAAAATTTTATTGTTCTGCTGTTATGGATGTTCCAAAGCTGGAACACTAGGCCTTGAAGGGTTAAAGAATTTAATCACTGAGGAAATGATGTCTTGATAATTATACTGTTTCCAGTTTTATATTTTCAGAAAGATTTTATAACAACTAGTCAACAGGTAAATACTTCTTTCTTTCTTTTAAGCAGACTTAAGAAAAACCTTAATTTTAATTTTCAAGTAAATTCTAGAATGCTCATTCAATAGCATCACATCTTTATATATTTATGTAGAAGGAATGTTCATGAGCAGAGAAGTATCTGAGATAATTTTGAGAACCTCAGACTTTCTTAAAACTTAAGTATTTCTAATAAAGCAGGAGTGGTGACATAGAATAGACTATTGGCGCTTGTGCTTTCACAGATTAAAAAACAATAATTCTAATTAAGCACCCACTCTCTCCATGTTCGTTACTGAGCTAGGTGATGTCCGGTATTCAGAATACTCTGCCTTCTAGCTTGTTCCATCGAAGCCACAAGTTAGTGAAACAGAAGAATTTGGACTTTCACCTAAAAGCCTGTGGTGCTCACGCATCTCTGGATGAGCTCCTCCCCGGGGCGATATTTCAACTTCACGTGCAAGCTCAGTCCCTCCTCTTCTTCCTACACCAGTTCAGTTCTTCAACATGTTTTCTTTTGCTTACTACATGTGTGCCTGGTGCTCTACTAGGCTCTGGGGTTATGAACATGGACACAGAGTGATCCTTATTGAAAAGTGGCCCCAGGGTAGCTTGGATGAGAAAGATAACAATTTTTTTCCCCCAATTTATTAAACAGAAGCACATGGAAGATGCTTAGGGAGCCCTTAGCCCAGTGTTGTGGGAAAAAGCATCCGAGAAACCTTATACCGTTCTGTTCTGTAGTATTTCTGACAGAATAGAACTGATATCTAAAGTACTTGATTTCTTCCTTTCTTTGTAGCTCACTTACTCCTCATTTTGTACTTTAAGTTTTATATCTTCTTTTGTCCCAACTTTGCCTTTGTCTCTTTATTTCTGCTAGTGTTGATCATCTTCATACTTTCTTTAACTTGCATTGCTGTGCTGGACTTCTGATTGCACTTTTTGCAGCCAATCTTTTTGTCCATCTTGTATTCCTTTTCCAGAATAGTTTCTAAAATGTTATTTTTCTTACATAACAGCTCCTCTTAAGAAAGTACAATAATTATATATATCTCCTCCTGGTTCCAAATGTTTTAGTATTATAATCCCTTGGTGATACATTTATGTTTACAGGTCATTGACTGGATGTGGTGAAAACAAATCCCATCACCTTCCACAGTCTTAACAAATCTTGGTGTTGATTTGCTTTCTCTTTCTTTCTCTCTCTTCTCCCCTCCCCTCCCCTTCCCTTCCCTTCTTCTATGCTGGGGATTGAACCTAGGATTTTTTTTTTAACTGAGCTATGTCAACAACCCATTTTTAAATTTCTTCTTTTTAGGCAGGGTCTTGCCAAGTTGCTAAATTAACCAGGCTGGCCTCAAACTTGAGAGCCTCCTGCCTCAGCCTTCCAGAG